ATGTTATGTCAAGCCTTGTCATTTAGATAATCTGAGCTGTGACTATAAAAAGTAATGCCGGGTACTACATACAGAAAGCAGTCTTATTTTATTGTCAACCTGCTCGCACGGTAACCAGATGATGACCTATTAGCCCTGCCTTTTCAGGTAAAAGTAGTCATTGTCTAAGGCACATGTAGTCATTGCTCACCTGTTTTTTTTTTTTAAAAGATTTTATTTATTTACTTTCAGAGAGAGGGGAAGGGAGGGAGCAAGAGTATGAGAGAAACAACAATGTGTGAGAGACACACCGATCGGCCGCCCCTCGCACACTCCCAAAGGGGACCTGGTCCGCAACCCAGGCATGTGCCCTGACCGGAAATTGAACCAGCAGCGCTTCGGCTCTCAGGCCGTCACTCAGTCCACTGAGCCACACCAGCCTGCTCACCTCTTTTTAGAACTGTCTCTGTCTTCTAAATGAAACATTAATTTTTCCAAGCAACCGGCTCATTCAATTTCTCATTAGCAAAGAAAATATTTGGTTCCTAAACTAACATATCCAATTTCAGCGACAGATACTTCTAAAAGAAAGCAAACAGTTGTAAATGCAATGGCAGAATTCCTTTCATTTGGGTGTTAAGACAGCCAATCCTCTTGAAAATGTTTTTAAAACATTTCTCTCCATTTAAATGCCTCTCTCCCTTGGATGCTATATGCCTCCCCACCCCTCACCCCACCATAACCCTAGGGAAAACTGTTGCTTAAAAAAGACTTCTCCAAACCATGAAAATACTTGGGCAACATTTTTCTTATAAAAACACAAGCATAACTGGATCAGGTCCAAATGCTCAAGTTAAATTAGCGATCTGGCCAGTATGACTTTGGGTACCGAAGAGAGCCATTCTGCATCATTTCGACATCATGAACTGTCTTTCCCAAAGTTGCTGGATCTGAATTATCTAAAACTTGGGTCTCTGGGAACCTGACCTTAAGGTTTAGCTGAGTTGGACTTTTGAAATATACCAGTTTGCAAATGACTTTGTGGAAGAAATAAAGTCCTTGGTGAGACTTTACTTCTATTTGTTACTGAGCATTTTTGGGACTGTTGTGCTAAATCTGAGCTGGCATGTTATTAACCTTTTCAAATCAGGCATTTAGTAGGCTGAGCCGAGTCTCCTCTTAATTTGCACATTAGGGTTTGCCTGAACAGCTGGCACTGTGCTGGAATATTAGTTGAGCTCTCTGATTTGCATGGCCTAAGAGCAAACATATAAACTCTGCTTTTGGAGAGGATGACCTAATCACTTCCAAATACAGTAAACTTCATTAATGAGGCTAATAGCAACAACAGTAGCTAACGTTTACTGAGTGCTTACCATGTCCCAGGTCCTGTAGGTGTCTTCAGTCATTTGACACTTTTGACAACCTTATGAAGTTGAATCCCCCAATTTTGTAGATAAGAAAACTCAGAGGGGTTAAGTTACTTGCCCTAATTTACACAATCAGTAAACAGTAAAACAGCCTAGGCAATCTACCTGCTGAATCTGTGTGCTTTACCACTTTGCAACTCTACCCCAGTAACTGTATCAGGTAACAAGGAAGAACTTCCACCTTCTCAGGTAAAGGTGTCACTTCTTGAACTGTGACACAGGCTTCAGAGGAGCAGGAGGTGACCAGGCTAAAGGAACACAAATGCTTCACTCCCATTCCCGACCAACCACAGGCAACCTTGCTGCTTCTGTAAATGTGTGTGCAGGTTTTCCGTTTACTTTGCACATGTCTGTGGTAAGATTTATCATAAGGCTCCAATATGCTTATGACATATGTCTGGACCTGTGGTAAGAACCACAGGTGAGAAATGTGTAGGGCGGGGTCTTCCTTCAAAAACAAGGACGTTCTTGATACGTATCTAGAACATCCTCTATCCTTCCTCCACACATCTAGGGCGTTAGTCACTTGGAGAAGAGCTAGGACAGGCTCACAATACAAAGAGGGTCTCCAACAGCGCGGCCGACTGGAATCTGGCTCCTGGTCCTGGTCACCAAGGACCAGTAAGCAGGCCTGTGTAGTGAGCTGGAATGCAGTTGTCTCCTCCACCAACAGGGCAGAACCCAGAGAAGGAAAGTTGGATCCTTCGGATTTGCACCTCTCTTACCTACGTTTCTTTCTCCTTTGTCCTTCTTGAATGTTTAAAAAAGGCCTTTTGAAAGTTCCAGTATATTTCAGATGTCTCAGTGAGGGAGTTTTAAAAAATAAACTGGGCCACAGAACGTGGAGGGTGGCAATAATGGTGGTGGGAATGGCGGAAGAGAATCCAGAGGGGAGAGAGGGAAGAAGCTGGAAGCTTCCTGTGGCCAGCTTCCTCCCTCGCTCCAGCTCCTGCTGCCAAACCTCTCGAGTTCTGGCTTATACTTTAGTGCGTGGGCAGAACTCCTGTGTGCCCTGTCTGCACAGCAGAGGTGCTGGGGAACGGCTTGAACAATAGCCAGGCCAGTTTTCTACCACAATTAACTTTAAGAGAACTGAAGACATGGCTCATGTTTCTCTCTTCATTCTTTTAAAAATGCAAGTGTGTAAATACAGAGATCTCCTTTTGCTGGGTTGACAATGGACATATTTGCAAATGTCCATTATGTTTATGCTAGAGGAAATGCTATGCATATATTGATTTATTAAGCTAAAAAGAAAGTCCTCTGCCAAATCCCATTCTTGGCTCAAGATAGTATCACCTTTAAAGTTTTACAGAAAATTTCCTGAAGCCTCTAAAGCTGGAGGGGGCAGCACGAGGTGGGGGAAGAAAACAGAAAAGAAGCAACTGCTTTGCTGAAGGAAATGCGACCTTTGCCAAAAGACTCCGGGGATAAGCCGCTGAAATACGCAGTCCGCTCCTTTCCCTAGAACACTCAGCCCTCTTTCCTTTACCAGCGCATCTATTTAGTCCTTAAAAAGTGCTTTGTTTAAGTTTCTGTAAACACTTTACGTTGGGATGCAAAGAACCGCATGAGGTATATATGCCAAGTAGTGTTAACACCACACTGACCCCTAAATAGACTCCTATAGAAGTGCAAACGCAGAGGAAAGAATGAAGCTTCATCACTCTCGTGGGGATATGTGTGCAGAAACGTAACTGTCTTCGGGGTCAGGCGAGCCCTCGAACTGGGAGGTTGTGACCTGCTTGGTGCCGACCCCCACACAAGTGTGCAAAGATAAAGGCGAGTCTGCTTGCTGGCTGGCTGGCCCCTGAGCCACCAGCCTCCTCAGTCTGACAGTGAGCAAGGGCCATATTTCTGTCCCTGGAAGAGCGGGGCTAAATCTAAAACTAGCTAAAAATAATAATAATAAAAAAATCTTGAGCTCCTTAGAGAAAAAAAGATGTCTCAGCTCCCACCCAGCCTAGTAGGATTAATCCCAGTTTAGTCAACTGCCTGTGTTGTTAAAAATACAATAAAAATAAGAAGACAAGCTATGGAATAAAATTAGCCAACAAAACTACCTACTAGCTCTCTACTGTCTCACTCAGGGTATTCTGAGCCTCTCTTGAGCCTCATGAAAGGATTTCTGGTGAGGAGAGAAAGGAACATTTTATGTCACTTCCGAAATATCTCTAGGTTGGAGGATGATGGCAATTGCCACGCAGGGCAATCCTGGGGCTGGACCCGGCTGTTCCACCTGCTGGACCAGGGCACTCGCAGACCCAACCAGGGCTTCTCGGCCAAAGTCACCCGAGTCTGTTCGGGAACCGTATGCTGACTCGTCTCCAAACCGTGCAGACGCCAGAGAGAGAAAAGGGAATTTTTCTCAGGCGTTCAGCAAGTAGAGAGAAAACGCATGCTATAGCCTCAGGTTAGGAAACTTTTCCTCAAAACGGCATTAAGCTTTGGGAGCTGCCAAGAAACCCCTAGTTTCTTTTCAAGGGATTGTAGCGCGACTTGTGTCCACAATTACAGCAACCCAAGCAATTCAGGAGAAAAAATATACACGGACCACCAGCAGGAGTCAATTTGGAGTGTGTACGTGGTTCGGCAACATTGTTATGTAAACACGCCAGTGTCCTTGCACAGGAGCTACTGTTTCCACCCATGCCTTGTTCATATTCAGTTTTCCCTCGTCGGGCAGTAGTTTATGCAAAAACTGGGTGTCACAGCTCTAGATCAAAGCGTTGCTCCGAATCTCTCCCCAGCCCCTACCAAGCCGAGCTCAGTCCTCCTGCTCGTCTCCCTGCTCCTGCTGTCGGAGCTGGCAAGACCTGCGAGGGGCTAGCAGCGAAGCTGTCCGAGGCGGTGCGTGTGGGTGAAACGGGGGACTGTTAGTTTTAGCCAAGTTAATTTCTGCTATGGCACGCAGTTTGGGAGGCTCCGGACCACTGTGTAAAACTGCAAATCCAGTGGTGATCACGAGCTTGAACCAGGTCGGGGCAGCTTCGGTGGGACTTGAATGCCGCATCATCGTCCCCAGGAAGGGACACCAGAGACCAGAGAGCACCAAGTACTGGTGAACGCAAGCTAGCTCCAAGGGGTGAGCAGCCACTGCTTAAAGCTTTCCCCGCTGCTATCCCCACCTCCCCACTCCCGCCCAGCTTCTTCCACTGTTCATTCCTCCCTGGCTCCCTGGGTCCAACCGCTTCAACAAGTGTGTTGCCAGACTCTGGCAGGGTATGCCTGCAGACCTGCGGAGCCACGAGTCGTGGTCAGTGTCGCTCACCGGGGGCTTGAACGCGTCGCGCAGCCACCTGTTCTACAAACTCAGCCTAGAGTTTGTGGGGACGCTGGCTACCCCAGGAAGGACCTTGTCACCCCCTGGGTTCCGACCGGCACGCTTCAAGATCTCCAAAGACGCGCACCATCACCCCAACCCCAAAGCGCACATCCCTTTACGCAACCTCGGAGGCCTTGCACTTACTCCGGCCACCCGCGCGCGGGCACTTAATTCCCAGCCTCGCTGCTTCAGCCCCCTACCCAACCGCTAGTCACCGGTGCCAATTCCACGTCCGGCCCCTCCGGGAGGACGGCGCCCCAAAGTACCTGCAGTGAAGATGCAGAGAGCGAACAGAGTCTTGGAGACCATTGTATCCTGGTGCTTGGTGCCCAGTCCGGCGCGGGCAGCGGGAGAGTTTGTCCGGACTGACCTAGCGCACCGGGCGCTGGCTGCTCCTCCTCTGCCCAGCGGGCTGCGGTGGGAATCTAGAGGCCCTCGAGGATCCGGAGGCGGGCGGAGACGCCAGACACACGCGGCGCTGCTCCGTCAGCTGCGTGTCCTGCGGCGCCCAGCGCGCTTCTGCTCCATCCCAGCCGCCTGATCCCGGGGCCGCCTCCGCCGCGCCGCCTAAACCCCTCCCACCTGCGCCCCGCAGCGGCTACAAGGCCTCCCGCTAGCCTCCCTCTCCCAGCGCTCGGGTCCCGGGAGCCCTGGCCCAGGGCGGCCTCTGCTGGACAGTCAGGGCGTGTGAGACCCTCCTTTTGACAATTCAGCAAATGTTTGGAGTGGCCATATGCCATCTTAGGCGTCACCTCCAAGAGCAAAACCCACTATTATAAGAGAGCACATCCATTTCTTTCTACACCTTTTCCTTCATTTCCCCAAACATTCCCGCCTGTATATCAAAGCCTCACACATATTCAACCCCACTGCACTTCTGGTGCCTGAGCCAGGAAGTCTGCGGTCCTATTTAGTTTCTCACCAGAAAAGATGGTACTAATGTCTGCTAACGCTGACTGTGGGATTACTCTGAGCAAGGGCTCATACTAGGTGCTGTATCGTGACTCCTTCTAACAACCCTATGCCATAATGATACTTATTCCATTTCACGTATGAGGAAACTAAGGCACAGAGAAGTAACGTGCTCAATGTTGCATAGCTGGTGAGGGCTCAGTCCACATTTGAACAGTTTGGGTGCAACGAGGCCATGATGGCAAAGGCCGTTCCCTAAGTAACTGCTGCATGCTGGACAATTGTGCTGTACAGGTCCTGACCAAGTCAAGTCCTCACAACAATCCTTTGAGGTGGGCACTGTTACAGCTCCATTTTCAGGAGGAGGAAGTGGAAGCCAGAGAGGTTTAAGGTCCAAGGTCACCCAACTAGCTAATGATGCAGATAAGATGTCTGCCGAGACACCCTGGGTCACCCCCGGTACTGAACTCTTTTTTCAAAGCCCCCAAATCCAGTGCGTTCACACAGATTGAAGCTGATCTTTTGCTTAGTTCTCCCCACTTGCTTATTTCTCACACCTCTATCAGACCAGATGTTGGCTCTTCACTTCATATGTATGCGACTATGAACCTGGTGGTTCCCTAGTCACTAGAGCTAGGGACCTGCAGGAGTTTAAGAGCCTCCTAAAAGAATTGACTTGTTCAGGACCATTAATAGCCCTGGAGAGTAGCTTTTTCTGTGACTTCTTTCTCATATACCAGAGCTTCAGGTTTTGTGTTTTCACTCTTTTGGGCCTCATCATTTTATCTGTGACAAGGTCAATTCCTTTGCCTGATCAGCATTATCACTGCAGAACTTGTTATGCTTGTATAACCAGAAAGACAAAAACTGAGCACATAGTTTTCCTCTTGTGTTGGTAAATTTATTGATTCCTTTAGGAATGAGAAGTAAAAGATATTAGTACAACAGTGCCCATCCCCCTTCCCTTTTCCCTGGCCAGAGCAACTGCAAATTCGATTTGTTAAACCCGTTGTCTGAAGGCTTTTGACCTGAGGTCCTGCTGGCTTCTAGTGTAATCTACGTGATTATAAAGAATTTCTGCATCTGGGTTGTGGTTGTCATGGAGGCAGGGACCACACACACAGATGGATTTTTGCAGGGCCCTTCCATGAGGAACAGGGGCCTTTAAATAGGGCCATTGAAGTAAGTAACTGTACGACAGAAATAAAGTGTTTTTCAAAACCACTTCACAGAAAAAATGATTTAATTAATATTCAACAAAACTTTAATGAAGTCCCTCTGGAGTGCAAAGCATATGTGATTCTGACTTTGATATCTAAGATGATTGTTTGGTACTCAAAAAATGGTGATACCCACATACTAATCAGTTAAAATTCCCAAGGTTTTTTATTGTATGCAGAGTAGAGTGGAAATTAGTTCTTTAATAAAATCATTTATTTTTATTAATGATTAAAACTTTTAACTTATCAACTTAGTGAAAACATATTTGATTGCGTACTAGGTGCCAGACACTCTGCTAGGCTGCGGGAATGTAATAGATTGTAACAGACAGGGTAGGCTAGGTTATCCTGCCATAATAAATCACCGCAAAGTCTCAGAGGCTTCAGAAAATAATGGTGTATTTCTCACTCATCAAAGTCTGCTGTGGATTCTGGTTATTCCCCAGACTAGCTGTTCTCTACGTCCAGGCTCAGGGTTGTACCTCCACATCAAAACCTGCCTCCCCACTCACTGAGATGGGGAAAAAGAAAAGTAGAGAGTTAATGCAACATTTAAATCTACACCTGGAAGTTTCTGCTTGTACTTTACTGGCTGAAGCAAATCAGCAGTCACGCTCAGCTTCAAGAAATCAAGGAAGCACACTTTCTTTGTCTGCTCAGATGGAGAGGAGAGCTGGACAGCAGGGGACAGTTGTGATGTATGTCACAGTGGTTAATTGTCCCTGCCATTAGGAAGTTTATATGCTAGCAGTGAGGAGTCAAACATCGAATGAACGATCACAAAAATATATGCGATAGCTTATGTTAAATGATATAAATAATAACACCCACTAACATTTATGCAGTTTCTGCAATGTTAGGAATTAATGCAAGCATCTTATGTAATCTGTTTAAACTTTACCCCCTAGAAAGTTATTCCAATTTTAGAAAGAACGACACAATCCAGAAAACCGAGAGATACCTAAAGAGAGTTTAAGTATGAAGGAAACCAGAAAATGCTATGAGCTATTATGGCAGGGTCGCCTGCACTCCTCGGTGGAGTCAGGAATGGAATTTGCATGCAATCCTTCAGTCGCACCTTACAGCAAAAGCTAGTGTCTTTATAGAATTTGGGGGGGATAAAATCTAAAATAAATCTGTCTAACACTGACTTATACCTTTTTATTATTGTTAAAATTAATTTCTAGTGTTGTAGACTTTCAACACCTTAAAAACTGGCCTTGGTGGACTTAGTTTTTGACACCCTGAATTTATTATAATTTATAGATAATGTCATATAATACGTGTTAGATAATATATAGAAGTGTTAGCTTTGGACTCTGGGGTCCATCATGGCCTCGGAGAAGCAGAAAACCATGACTGAGAGTGGGAGTGAGGCAGTAAGTGCAGTGGTTAGAGGTTGGGTGCTGACGTCCAGCCCACGGGCCCTGAAGGCTCGATTCTAATCTGCACTCTCCATATACTGAGTGACTAATGACTTGATACCTCTATGCCTCAGTTTCTTCCTGGCATTATTGGGAAGATTACATGGGTTACAAATGTGAAAATTTTGGCATGGTCTGACTGCCAGTAAATGTTATTATCTACTATCAGAGGACAAACTTTGGGGCAAATTTAAAAAATTTTTGGATCTAAAATACAAGGGGAAAAATTAATGGCTGCTGCAGCCACTTCTTCACACGGACAGTTCTGTGACTCGAGCTCTGCCCTCAGTGATTCCACTCCCCCTACAGCTGAGATGCAGGCGAGAGCTCTGAAGTGCCTCTGACACCATGGCCCACCTCTCCTTCTTCCTTCCCCAGAGGCAGGAAAGCAGCCTCCACACCCTGGGTCCTTCTGCCCCGGTTTCATTTCCCTTCCCCAGCCGCACTGCAGAAACGTCTGCACGGGCTCTGCACACTTCCTCATATCGCTTTGCTTTTCTCTTCTTAACTCTGACTCTCCCTTTTTGAAAACATCACTGGCAAAAAGATGAAAAACAATTATGCAAGAAGAGCAAAGGGTAAATTTGGAACTTTGCCAAGAAGTATTTGCTTGAACAAAGGCAGTTTTAATGGAGTAGGAGAAAACATGGTTATTTTCCTGATTTAAATAAAGTTGTTTGGAGCTGCTTGAGTTCTTTGAAGACAGTAAACTAAATGTCACTCATTTGTATTTTAATTAAGGAGAAAACCTCTAAAATATTTCAGGAAGGAAGAAACAGGCTTCTAGGCAGCGAAACACATGACAAAACCTCTAATTTAAACAAGCCTACAGCTTGACTGACTTGATACTGTGCACCTGTGTTATCCATGAAACTAACACAGGTCACATATGTAACTTAAACATTTCCAGAAGTCTTATTTTTAAGAAGGAGAAAGAACAAGTGAATTTAAATTAATTAATCAAAGTATATTGAACAATATGCTTTATTTACCCCAATATATTTAAAATGTTTATCGCATCACATATAATGAAAAAATATATTAATGAAGTATTTTACATTCTTTTTCTTAATCTGTGTTTGATATCCAATGTATATTTTATACTTATATGACATCTCAATTCAATTGTCAGCACATTTCGGTTAAAGGTAACTAGTAACTACCACGATGGGCAGAACAGCTGCAGACCATTGGGCCAGTCTGTTCGCCTGCCTCCTGGGTATGTTCTGCAACAGCACAGAGCAGTGCTGGTGGGACTTTCTTCACTGACAGTGGAGCGGTTGGAAGCCTAGCACTTGCTAAATGTATGGCTTCTAGCCCTTACTAACCTCTCTCTCAGTTTCTCCCTCTATGAAATAGATGTGATGATTATAATAATGATACCTTGCTTAAAAGGATTATTGTCAAGATTAAATTCAGGGAAAGGAGTTAGAACAGACCTTAGAGCCTCAATAAATGCTTACTGTTATATTCGGTAGGAGTGGTTACAATGGACAACGGTTACAAGTGTTGAAATCTTCCTGTCGTCCCTGTGGTATTAGAGGTTCCTTACTACTCAGAGACTCTGGCAGCATCACCTGATTCCAGAAGTCTGTGTGTGCATAGTTTAGAGCGGCATTTCCCAAACACTTTGGTCCCAGGACATCTCTACACTCCTAACACTGACTGAGAACTCTCCAAACCATTTGTTTATGCAGGAGGGGCATTTAAAGGGCCCTTTCAGGTAATTGTAGTTTTTTCTCTTTTATATTATACCAAAGCTCAACAAGTAGTAGTTTCTTAAAAGTTAGCAGCAATGTGGAATGTGAAAGCATCTCAGTGAATTTTTTGTATTTGCTTACATTAAAGTCCTTTGGTCTGTTTTGCACTTTGGACATATCTTTTACCAATATATGATTTTTGTAACCTCATGAATCGGTCATACGGAAAATAGTGGTTCGCTGAGTTATGCTGATCTTCCAAATTTTAACACATTTTATTATACAACATCA